TATTTACGATGTTCAGTTACAGGTTTTTGCTCTGCAGCACTCATTTAAATAATTAAACTAGCACAGGTTTTTTTCGTAGTTTTACCGGCTGCCCTTGCGTCGAGCGTAACCCGGGTTTACATGGGGAGAGTATCTCCCTGCGTTGCGAACATGAAGTAAAATTTCCAATTATATAATATAATTGGAAATTTTACTTTGTGTTCGCAACGCAGGAAGATACTCTCCCCATGTAAACCCGGGTTACGCTCGACGCAAGGGCAGCCGGTAAAACTACGAAAAAAAACTGTGCTAATTAAACTGCGATATTTTATTGTACTGAAAACGATTATGTAGTGTGGCCAAAAGGGAGGCAACTCTGATCAAGTCCACAAAGCTATATATCTTTATTAACATCCTTCACGTATCTCTTTTCGTAAATTTCGAATTTCATAGTAACTAAGGTATGAGAGCTTGATAAAAGGAATTCACCTGATTTTGTTCGTGTTCTTCCGCATTCTATTTCACGTGAATTCGAATTTTCCCAAGCTCTGCCACAGTTTTGCCAATTTTTAATTTTGGCGTTATTCGTTATTATATACTTTTTGGGTTAGTGGTCCTGGTCCAAATCTGGGATCGTGACTGCTTCTAGGTCACAGCATCATAAATAATGAATTTACAAATTTATTCTCTTAAAACTAAATCGAATTCTGTGCCGTAATCCGGAAATTTGGTTTTGCCTGAAACATCTATTCATATTATGCCCTATTATTTTTTTAAAAAAACCTTAAACTGTATATTTAAATTGATTTTTGAGATGTTCAAAAATCAAAAATAGTAAAATAAAAGTGATAATAACGTCAAAAATTGTTAAAAATTGTTTAAAATTGGTAAAAGTTAAAATAATTAAAAGTGATATTAGAAATAGTCTGAGAAATCAAAAATATTATAAATATTACTGTATCGGCACTTAAAAAGCGTTACCAAATAAACTTATCATCAACAATTGAATCAAAGAATTAAAGAATTCATTAACAAAAAATTCATTCGATATTTCGGCTTAATAATTTACCGAAATATATTACGTAGTAAACGCTCCTAATGAGAAAAGTCTTAGCCTTACACATGCTCAATATTTGTAACAACTGGAGATTTGCTTACAGTCCTAAGTTATATTATTTCCCGGTACTGGGGTATGATCTGCATGGAAAACATTTTCTGAAACCATTGATATACAGTACAGATGGTCCTTCGAATTCAATTTAACAAAAAAATGTTATCTGCTATTGACATTTTTTTACTTCTATTCACTTTTAGTCGGAATTGTTCACACGTGCCGTATGTCTTTACCTTCGAGGTTAAATATTTACCAAATTAAATAAACCACGTTTTTCAATGAAGAATAATGACGTATGTGTACTCTATCTCAATTTATCTCAATTTATCTCAATGATTTATTCATTATATCGTCATACAAAATTCAGATTTAAAATCTGTGCAGTAATTAATGTTGACTTAATATCTAAACGTTTAATCTTTCTTTGTATAGTTGAAGGAATCTATTTTTTATTGTTATTAAATTATCATGGTTATTTATCAGTATTGTTTTTTTGTAAATTCTATGAATTCTATAAATTCTATTAACCATCTAACCAACTAAATGGAATTACAATCAACCGATTTTGTTCGTGTGGGATAATATATCTCCTTTTAGAAATATCAAAGCACAAATTAAATACACCGTTAAATGTGTGCATCACATAACACAATGTTAAAGTTGTAAAAACCGCATACGTATTTACATTAATATATTGTACGCTAAAACAGAGTTCCGTATTGCATTGTCAATTTTATATAAAGCCGCGTATATTCGCCTAAACGTTATTCCTTCTTAGCTTAAAAAACAAAAAAAAAAGAAAAAAAAAGGAAAAAAAGTATTTTATATGCACCGGCCTTCGATCCATATAACGATTTACTTAGTTGCCTAAGAAAAAAAGTACTCAATTTCAATGCTAATTGAGCCAATTGAGCATTGAAGTAGGACCAAATATAAAAAAAAAAAAATCATCGTAAAGAAATTTTTAATTATAGTTCAACACAAATATGGCAGAAACTGTAACGAATTCGAACTCGGTTGAAAATACTACTGTATCGGCAACTCAAAGTTCTGAACAATCTAATGAGTCAACTCAAATACAACTGGAAGAAACTTCTGGCATAACACTTAATTCCGAGCATGAAAAAATATTAAATGATCAAATCCTTCCTGGAAAAACGAAAGCATCTTATAGTCAATTATATCGGTTCGCTACGAAACGCGATTGGTTGATTATGATTATTGGTCTGGTATTTGCTGGCTCTGCCGGTGCAACTATGGTATTCTTTTTTTTCTTAATTCTTTTTCATAGCTTGATTTTTGTTAATTGAACATATATACTTTGATTTCTTTTTTTAGCCTTTAATGACGATCATTTTTGGAAGGATGATCGATTACTTTACTCTCTTTTTAACTCATAAAATAACAGGAGATGAATTTTCCACTGAAATTAACCTTTATTCCTTATATTTCATATACCTCGCCATTCTTACCTTTGTTGCCACTTATATATATATGGCAACTTGGGTATACACTGGAGAAAGGTAGTTTGTTATTTTACCATTATCGTCTTATAATTTCGTTATTATATGTAATTGTTACAGTAGTTATTACATATTATAATTAATAAAATTTTTATTTATAGGCAGGCTCGGAAGATTCGGGAAAATTATCTCCGTGCCGTTCTCCGCCAAAATATTGCCTATTTTGATGGTATTGGTCCCGGTGAAATTACTACTCGCATTTCTTCTGACACTCATTTGATTCAAGATGGTATAAGTGAAAAGGCCTCGGTTGCTTTCCAGGTATTATTTTGTTTATCAAAATTTTTGATGTACGTTCGTGCATGTGTATATCGATATTACACATACGTACCTAATCCCGCTCATCGTCACGTGATCCCGTATAGTATATCGCCCAATTTATTTCTGCCTTTATAATCGCGTTCACTACGAATTGGAAAATGACTTTGGTGATTTGTTGCGTAATTCCTATAATCGGAATAAGCAGCGTAACAATTAACAAATTTAACACCCTTTTTACGAGACGAAGTTCTGATTTCTATTCATTAGCTGGATCTATTGCCGAAGAATCTATTTCTGCTATTAGAACTACCGTATCATTTGGTGCTCAAAAAAAATTATCTGCTCTTTACGATGCTTATTTAGTACATGCAAGGCGTGAAGGGATTAAAAAATCAATTACAAATAGTTCTGGTGTCGGTGCTCTATTCTTTTTCGTTTATTGTACTTACGCTTTAGGCTTTTGGTATGGTTCAACTTTACTTATTTCTCATGAAGTGTCTCCTGGCCAGGTATTTTATCTATATATATATATATATATATATATATATATTTTAATCCATTTAGTTAAAATATTACAATGTGTTTATTCTTGTATCGATATATCTGATTTATTTTTTAAAAGGTTGTAAATGTTTTCTTTGCCGTAATTATTGGTGCATTTTCTCTTGCACATCTCGCTCCAGATATACAAGCTTTTGGACTTGCTGTCGGTGCTGGTGCAAAGATTTTTGAAACAATTAATCGTATTCCACCGATAGATTCTTATTCTAAAGATGGTGAACAACCTTCTAGTTGTGAAGGTCGAATTCAATTTAAAAATGTTTCATTTGTTTATCCTTCTCGACCTAAGGTTAGAACTTTAAATGATGTATCGTTGGATATTGAACCTGGTACTACTGTCGCTCTTGTTGGTACTTCTGGATCTGGAAAAAGTGCGTATTTCAAATATACATATATATTGTGTATATATATATTTTTTATTGTCAACCAGTGCCGATCAATTACGACGCAGCCAGGGCGGCCCCCCCTAAGTGCGGGTTACGGGTCATCGCCGCCACATTCATTTAATAATAACTATTAT